AGCCAACACCAAAAGCAACTAAAGCGAAGAGAAGCTCAGCAAAGAAACTGCCTTCTATAATTAACCAACTTGAATCTTATGATATTGTAAAAGTTTTGTTAAATCGACTTGCTCAAGTACCTATAGACAACTATTGCAATATCCAAACTAATGTAAAAACCTTGCCCAGATAATAAAAAAAACTATTGTGACTACTAAAGCTAACTACTTAGAATTGGGTCCAACAAAGAAAACAGTTGCTATAAGATATTATATTAATATTAGAGAACAACCAGTAGTTGTTATCCTTGATTCCAGTGCTGCTGTTAGCATTATTATCAAGAAGCTAATGCAAAAACTAGAATTACATATTACTAAAAAATTCAAGACTATTGTAGTAACTACTAATAGAGCTAGAAAAAAAGCTTTAGAATCAATTAATGATGTGAATATTGCATTTCAAAATATTGCAATCCCTATTGACTTGCAAGTAATCAAGTCCAAAGATAAAATTCTCTTGTTAGGAACAGATTGGTTTACAAAATCCAAAGCCACTTTAGACTTTGACAACTATACTCTAAAAATTAAATACTTGGAAAAAAGAGTTACTATCTATATAACCCATGTTAGTAAAGTACCAATACCTTATGAATTTGAAAAATTCACAGATGAAGATGAATAGATTAATAAAATCGAAGAACAAAATGAAGCAGAAACCTACCATATTGAAGAAGGAGAACAAGATGATGACCTCTTATTCTACAACTCTTGGACTGATATTGTTTCTGACAAAAACCCTGCAGTATATGACTGCTGAAGTTTCTACAACACCTCTTCTAACTATCAATACTTCTTTGAACAAACAACAAAGAGAAAAAGCTAAAAAAATTTTTCTAAACAACCACCAAATTTTTGCTAAAAATATTTCTGAAGAAGGACAAACTTTAAAACTGAGACAAACCAAAGAAGTTTGCTATGAAATTAATATTTTCAGTGCTAAACCAATTAAACAATGAGTTTACAGAATATCACCAGACAATTTAGAGTTCTTGAAAAAAGAAATTAAAAAAATAGAAAAATGTAGAATTATTCAAAAATCAAATAGCCCATGGTCCTTACCAGTAGTTATTGTACCCAAAAAGAATGGAAAACGTTGAATTTGAATTTACTACCAAAAGTTAAATGCGGTAACAACAAATGATATATATTCTCTTTCTGATATTAATGAAATTCTATATGTCTTTGAAGAAGCTCAATAGTTTATAAGCTTGGATCTGACCAGTGGATATTGGCAAGTTGCTGTACAAGAAAAAGATAAAAAGAAAACAGCATTTATTACTTGGCATAGAACATATGAGTTTAATGTTATGCCTTTTGGTTTGTGCAATGCACTAGCTACTTTTCAATATTTAATAGATAAAATTTTACGTTCATTTATTAACAAGTTCTTAGTTGTATATTTAGATAATATTACTATTTATTCAAAAACATTCAAAGAACATTGTTCTCACTTGCAATTAGTTTTTAATAAGCTTGCAAAAGCTAACCTCAAATTAAATATTGAAAAATATTCTTTCTTTTTAAATGAACTTAAATTCATAGGACATATTATAGGAAAAGATGGAGTAAAACCTAATGAAGAAAAGATTGAAAAAGTTAAAAACTTTTTAACACCTACTATGATTCATCATATTAGAGGTTTTCTTAGACTAGCCTCATATTACAAAAAATTTATATAAGAATTTTTTAAAATTACCAAACCTTTGAATAGCCTTCTACAAAAAAACCAACTATACTATTAGGGAGAAAAACAAGAAGCCTTTCAAACCTTAAAAGAATGCCTTATTACTGCACCAATTTTATAATATCCTAACTTTAATGAACCCTTCTATATCCATACTGATGCTTTATGAACTAGTCTTAGAGCTATATTAGCACAACTTGATAAAAATAAAAGAGAGCATATAATTGTATATGCTAGTAGAAGCTTCTCAAGAGCAGAACAAAACTACTTTGCTATAGAATTAGAATGCCTTGCTGTTGTATGGGCAGTTAAACAGTTCTACCAGTATATAGGAGAAAACTATTTCTATTTAATAACTGATTATGCTGCCTTGAAATGGTTAAGAACTACCAAACTTGTAGGAAAAAGAGCAAGATAGATTATGCGACTTGAACTTTACAATTTTACTATAATCTACAGAGCAAGAAGAAAGCATAATAATGCTGATTTTTTATCCAGGATATATGAAAAAGACCACCTTTTAGACGAAGAAACAGAAGCTAACCTGCTTGATTTACCAACTGAGCAAGAAGTCTTAGAAGCTGTTTTAGCAGAAAACCTATTGATCTTGATGATGAAGTTAAAATCTTTTACTTAGGATATGAAAAAGACTCCAGTACTGAAGAAAGTTTTTACGATATTTATAAAACTTTCTCTCAAAAAGCTGACTCCTACTTAGAAAACCCATGAAGTAATATTATATCTAACTCTGAAGTAGTAAATATCACTAATGAGTCTGAACCTCAAAAAGGAGCCTGAACTGAAGAAGACTTAAAAATTGTAAGAAAAACCTTGAAAGATAACCTCTCTCCTAATATAATAAGTAGACTTCCATTATACAACCATGTAGTATTCTCTCATGAAGGAATCTAATATAATATACAATTTTGTACCTAGTATTATATTGAATATATAAGCAAACGAGTTAATACCAAAAACAAGAAAGATCTTGCTAAAGATTAGAAAGGCCCATATGCTCAATATTGGTGTGGATTTAAACTCTATAGCCCTGAAGACAAATGTATCTAATACTATCTTGAATTAAAATTGTAGAATATAATTAAACAATATCCTATTGAAGTTATTAGTTTAATTGGCAAATCATGAGTCATCTGAACCAATATTTTTTTTAATATATAAATTTTACTATAAGCCTGAATGTGGAGGACGCCTATCTATAACTTTTTTTTTTACTAAGTAAATCACTCTTGGGCTTGTAACAAAAGTTGTAAAGCTCATCAAGATATATCTAATAGTAGTA